GATGGATGACCAAGTTAAATGACACCAAAAAAAAGGGAAACAAACACAATTCAAAATGTGAGGCAATCTACAAAACAAGTGACCTGGCCTGGCTGGTGCAGTTCAGTGGTTGAGCATTGACCTATGAACCAGGAGGTCACAGTTCAATTCTGGGTCAAGCACATGCCTGTGTTGCAAGCTTGATCCCCACTAGAGGGCGTGCAGGAGGTGGCCTATCAATGATTCTCTCCCATCATTGATGTTTGTCTCTCTCTCCCTCTCCCTTCTTCTCTTAAATTAATAAAAATATATATTTTTTAAAAAAGGTGACCTGGATTAAGAGAGACTAAGGAGAGAGACACAGGCACATCTTGGTGCATGGTCCCAGTCCTCACTGATGTTTGTGGTGAATACCAATGTGCCTCATGCCTCAGTGCCAGACAGGCTCCTCTCTGAGCTCACCTGGCAGCTGGGGCAGGCAACCAGCAAGCCTGCCCAGTATATTGCAGTGCACATGGTTCTGGACAACAGTTAAACCTTAATTAGATCCCATTTTAATAATTTACAAGGAGGCGTTTTGGAAAAACAAGGAAATTGGAATATAGTATAAATATTAGATGATTTTAAGAAATTATGATTAATTTTGTTCTCTTTGGAGGGATGCTTTTGGTCTTACTTGCAAAAGGGAAGTTTTTCTTTTGCTGTAGTTGTCTTCTTTGCAGAATATTAGTGTGTGCAAGTTTGTGAGCAAATGAAATATACAGGTTCAAGACATTAATTTTGATTTTCACATTTTATATCTATGCCAGATCTGTATTTCATGCAAGTTATTTACTTTAAATGGATGTAGTAAATTCACAGCTCTCAGCTTGAACTTTGCAATAAATGACTCAAAAAATTATGATTAAATATAAATCGCCAATAAACATAAGAAAAATGTTTAAGCTAAGTATTAAAACAAAATTTATTGAAATTTACCTATCAAATTGGTGACAGTAAAATAAAATACAATTGGGGAGGGCAGGACAATTTGGTAACATGCATCAAAAGTTTTAAAAAATGTTTATGCACTTTACCCAGCAATTCCACTTCTATGCATTCGTCCTATAGATATAAGAGCTGTACATAAACATTCCTTGGCCGAAACCGGTTTGGCTCAGTGGATAGAGCGTCGGCCTGCGGACTGAGGGGTCCCGGGTTCGATTCCGGTCAAGGGCATGTACCTGGGTTGCGGGCACCTCCCCAGTGGGAGGTGTGCAGGAGGCAGCTGGTCGATGTTTCTCTCTCATCGATGTTTCTGACTCTCTATCTCTCTCCCTTCCTCTCTGTAAAAAATCAATAAAATATATTTAAAAAAAAACAAAAAACATTTCTTGACCAGAATGTTCACTGCAGCATTGCTAATGAAAATAAACACAACCTAATTACCCAAGATGGAATAACAAGTTATACTTTGTAATCATTAAAAATCTTAATTTGAGATATTTAACAGGCAAAGATCCTTAAAATATATTACGTAAATGGAAGAGAGCAGTTATTTTTTGTGATCCCAGAGGGCAGGGCTAGGAACTACCACTGGAAATCACAGGAAGGCAGAGTTTGGCTCAATGTAAGGAATAACTTTCTAACAATTTCCTAATCAATGAACGGCCTGTTTCATGAGGTAATGAGTTTTGCATTATTAGAACTCTAAGCAAAGGCTGAATGGTCACTTGGCAAAGATACAGAAAACAGAATTATGTGTTAGGAGATTAAAGAGAAGATCTTAATGGTCCTTTTCTACTCTAAGAACTTATTTCATACAAATTTTTCCATTAGCTGGGATTTCATAGTGGTTGGCACTTCTTTGTAAATGCTATTGAAGAACAGGTGGCACTAAACTAAAGAGATTAGACCTACATTACAATAATGGAGTTAAAGAATGAATTATATTATATCCTGTATCAATAATATATACATTATTGATAAAATGAGCCCAACTGGCAAGGCTCAGTGGTTGAGCATCAACCTTTGAACTAGGACAGTGATGGCAAACCTTTTGAGCTCAGCGTGTCAGCATTTTGAAAAACCCTAACTTAACTCTAGTGTCCTATCACATATAGAAATTTTTTGATATGTGCAGCCATAGTATAACAAAGATTTATATTTTTGATATTTATTTTATATATTTAAATGCCATTTAATAAAGAAAAATCAACCAAAAAAATGAGTTCGCGTGTCACCTCTGACACGCGTGTCATAGGTTCGCCATCACTGAACTAGGAGATCAAGATTCCATTCCTGGTCATGATACATGCCCAGGTTGTGGGCTTAAACCCCAGTGGGGGGCGTGCAGGAGGCAGCCAATCAGTGATTCTCATCATTGATGTTTCTCTCTCATCAATGTTTCTAACTCTCTATCCCTCTCCCTTCCTCTCTGTAAAAAATCAATAAAATATATCTTTTTAAAAAAGTAATTTTCACATAAGCTAAATAAGCCTCGTTATTATCCCCATTTTATAAATGAGAAAACGGAGCTTTTACTGGTTCAAAGTCACACAGCCTGTAAGTAATGGTGCTAGATATGAACCCAGAAATTAACTTTAGACTAGACTTTATTCCCCCAACTACTAAAATATTCTGTCTTTCCTCTATACCAGTTATTCTAGCTGTTTTCTTTTTAATATACTTTTATTGATTTCAAAGAGGAAGGGAGAGGGAGAGAGAGAAACATCAATGATGAGAATCACTGATTGGCTGCCTCCTGTAGCCCTCTACTGGGGATTGAGCCCGCAACCTGAGCATATGCCCTTGACCAGAATGGCACCTGGGACTCTTCAGTCCACAGGCTGATACTCTATCCACTGAACAAAACTGACTAGGGCTATTCTAGCTGTTTCTTATGGGATATAGATTGTTGTGATAAAATGGGAGAAGGACTGCTGAATGGGGGAAGAGATTAGAAAAGATGCTATAAAATAAGCAGTTGCTTATTGCTTTTCTTGTGAAATTTTTTTTAAATGCCCCAATTGAGAAAGAAAAATGTATAACTGGATATATCAGTGCCAACTATCTAGTATATAAAAGAAAGTAAGTCCCCTCATGAAAGAAAAAACAATGATCAATGCCCTAGCCAGTTTGGCTCAGTGGATAGAACGTTGGCCTGCAGACTGAAGGGTCCTGGGTTTGATTCCAGTCAAGGGCACATGCCTAGGTTGTTGGCTCAATCCCCAGGGGGAGTGTGCAGGAGGCAGCCAATCAATGATTCTCTCTCATCATTGATGTTTCTATCTTTCTCTCCCTCTCCCTTCCTCTCTGAAATCAATAAAGATAGATTTAAGAAAAAACAAAAATAAACAAAAACAATGATCAAGCTTCTTCCACAGAGGCTGAATATATAGACAAACTTCTTTTAATCTGCCCCTCCAGTGACTTTGTGTATCTGTGTGTGTGCGTGTGTGTGTGCGCGCGCGCGCAGACCTTTAAAATAGTTCAAGTAAAGGGATCTCACAAACCAAAGGGCTTAGCAATCAGTATGAGTAGTATTTGATTGTTTAATAAACTCTTTGAGTGAAAAATAGAAGGACCTGGCCCTGGCTGGTGTTGCTAAATGGTTAGAGCATTGGCCCATGCATCTAAGGGTTGTAGATTCGATTACTGATCAAGGGTAGGTACCTGGGTTGCAGCTTTGATCCTCGGCCTTGGTTGGGACACGTGCAGGAGGCAACCAATCAATGTCTCTCTCTCACATGGATGTTTCTCCCTCTTCCCTCTCCATTCCTCCTTTCCATTTTCTCTCAAAAATCAATGGAAAAAATATCCTCTAGTGCAGTGGTTCTCAACCTTGGCTGGGCCAAGGTTGAGAACCACTGCTCTAGTGACTATTAACATACATACATACATACATAAATAAATAAATAAAATGACCTGGAATAAAAAATTCTTTTGACTGATGTCTCAACAGTTCTAAACCTTTCACTCATAGCCTTATAAAACAAAAAAAGAAAAACTCACTAATTATTCAAGATTTGTCAAAGATAGGGGAGACTCCCTCTGTTCTTTGGCCAAAAATTCTTCTAAAACCCTCTATAGTGATCTTAGAGTAACAGAACTAATTATCTTCTCTGTAGAGCCTACCTAGAGCGTCCTCCTTCTCCCATCTTCCACTCTCCCCAAACACAAACAGAAGGGCTCTTTCCTTGCTCCTACTGCACTTTATGCATAATTATATTAGAGCATTAATCAATATTGCAATGTAATTATCTTTTTCTTCTCTAGGCTATTAATTCCCAGAGGGCTAAGACTCTACCTCACTTTTCTTTAAGTTTCCGATCCCTAATCTTCAAAATTAGCACCACTGCAAGTACTCGAGATATGTTTGCTAAATAGGAAAAAACACAAAAATGACAAAATATGGATCTTTTCTGAGAAGGAATTATTTTGTAAGTATCTAACTTTTGCACCTTCAGTACAGCTGTTTCCCTTTAGGAGTTTTTTTCCCATCAGCCAATAGTTCAGGATGAATGGGGGTAAAGAAAAAGTCTAGCCATTTTGGTTTGCAAAAAGGTTTTAACTAGGGATGACTCAGCTTGAAGGGTCAGGAAGGTAGTCAGAGTCTTTCAAGAGTTTTTATTCAGATGGCATGATGCAGGATATAATTTGAAATGCCTGCTTTTACGTTTAAATGCTAAAGACAATAGGGAAATAATTCCAAATAAAAATCAATGATTACTAAGCAGTGCCTGGTCATCCACTTCTATTGTTTTTCAGACAAAAAACAAATCCCTGGCAAAAAGGTATAGGTCTGGTTATACCCCTCAAATATGGGGAACGTACTTTTCATGTACTGGTATGAGTCTCTTTGGAGCCCTCGTTAAGGTTAGCTCAGCCACTTTCAGGATTATCTGATTAGGCATCCCCTGAAGTGAAAATTTTGGGGTAAGGAAGCTATCTTTCTCACCAATCTAAGAAAATTAAGTGATATTATACTGGAAAAACAGTGCCATCACATCTGTACATGCCATTTTTGGTTACCATGTTACCTTGGTTAGAATCCACTGAGTCTTTTATATGAGCAAAAACACTCCTGACATAAGTTTGCTTCTTCCGTTCTAGATCTGATTGTGAAAACGTCGAAACATTAGTCCTGGAACAAAGCAAACCAGGAAGAAAAACAGTCCATTAGAATTATGAGTATAGTGTTTTATTGACAGAAGATATATACTGCTGATCAACTGCTGAAATTTAGAACAACTAAATTTCAGAGGCAAAATACTCTAAGACTCAGTGACATAAGATAGTGTTAGTCATATAAAGCTGAAATCAAGTATGGAGCTGAGAGAAAAAAGAAGACAAGGTTAACAACCTCCTGTTAACAAGCATAGGAAAGTGAAGACAACTTAGTCCCCAGGAAAAAAAGCATTTGTTGAGTAATTCAAGGTTAGTCAGAAAATAGCTAACTTCATAGAACCACAAAAAACTGAATGTGATAAACAGAAAAGAACCAGCTGGATCTGGCAATTAGAAAACTGGTGACCTTGGCAAGAACAACGTCTAGCCCTTATTCATACTGATTGCGCTATACCGAGGAGTCTGTAGATGAGAATATTGCCATAGTCAAGTTATTACTGTTCCAAGAAGCCTGACTTATATTCTTTGGTATAATTTCCATTATGAGCAATTAACAATGTTTCCCTTAAATTATGCAAACAAAAGAAAAAAAACAAAAAAGGGATTTTAGCCTTATTTTTAATATTTTAAAATTTCAAAAGCAGAATACCTGTATAATCAAAAATTTTTAAAAATATCATTGTAAAGCCCTACCTGGTTTGGCTCAGTGGATAGAGTGTGAGCCAGAGGACTGAACGGTCCCAGGTTCGATTCCAGTGAAGGGCATGTACCTTGATTGCGGGCACATCCCCAGTAGGGAGTGTGCAGGAGGCAGCTGATCAATATTTCTCTCTCATCAATGTTTCTAATTCTCTATCCCTCTCCCTTCCTCTCTGTGAAAAATCAATAAAATATGTATTTTTTAAAATTATCATTGTAAGGAAGCCAATGTGACCCAACCTAAAGAACAGCTTTGCTAATTAAAAAGGCCCATGTGGAGACACTGCCATCTCCTGGCAACAAGAGCATAGATTGAAAAAGAAAAAGTGACCCAAATCTGCAACCTCTATAAGAATTTTTCCCCAAGACAGTTGTATGACTAAATGATTTTCTACAGTTATATTTTAACATTTTTGCTAAAAATTATTCTAACCTCCTACCATATCTGTGACCAGACTTGCCCATACACAGGAAAAGAAATCTTACATTTATAAAGTACTTTCACTAATATGTCTTTTTTTATTCTTCAAAATTATCCTGTGAGGTAGTGGAGAAGGCATCATTGGATTCATTTTATTGATAAAATGAGTCAGAGATTGACTTGCCCAACATCACACTAATATGTGGTGCTAGAACTTCAAGTATGCTTACTCAGGGTTTTTTTTCCATACTACAGGGAAACTGAGAAAGAAACCAGAATATTCCATTACACTACTAGTAGCCTTGCGCACAAATCCGTGTGCCAGTAGCTCTCTGTGGGGTCTGGCCGCTCTTCGCCCCTGCCCAGAGGCTCTCCGTGGCCCAGAGGCCCATCTGTGGATGGGCGCAGAACACTTGCCTCGTCACTGGGGTGACGACGCAAGCATTCCCCACCGCCCCTGGCCACTCCATGCCGGCTGCCCAGAGGCCCTCCGCAGCCGGGGTGGAACACTTGCTTTATCACCACGGCGGTGAAGCAAGCATTCCGCCAGGCCGCTCACGCTGCCCACTCTCAGCCCTCCCCACCCCACAGAATGGGGGACTCCAGAGGGGCTGAAAGGACTGGGCGCTGCCATTATGTGGCTATGGGTGCCACCATCTTTGTGACGGAGTGATGGTTAATTTGCATATTGCCATTTTATTCTATAGGGTTACCTTGTTTTGGTTTGCAGAACAGGAATCACTTTGCCTATTCTCTCAGGAACTTTCAGCTTCCCAGAATCCTTGTCAAGAACATCCTTTTTTTCAGAGCAAAAGAAATGCAGAAGGAAAGATGGTTCTTAGTAACAAGAAAATAACAGTATACCATGTATGGAAATACTCTTGAACTAGACTCAGAGGCATATCCATATTCCACTGTGTACCAGGCACTACAATAGCTGCTTTAAATGAGATAGTGACTGCAATCTTAAAGTGGGGGGAGGCTTAGAACCCTAAGCAGCAGGGATTATTAAACCCTTTGGAAGAAAGAGAATCAGGCTCAAAGAGGTTAAGTAAATTGCCCCAGATTTTTCAGCTCTTCTGAGGCTTACTCAGAGCTGGTACTATATTTAATATAGCAATCCTAGAGGCCCGATGCACGAAATTCATGCAAGAGCAGGCCTTCCTTCCCCCGACTGCCAGCACTGGCTTCCCTCTGGCACCTGGGACCCAGGCTTCCCTAGCAGCCCCAGCTTCGTCTGGAAGGAAGTCTGGTCTAATTAGCATATTACACTTTTATTATTATAGATAACCAAAGATTGAGACTTAGGCTGAAGCCCAAAGGAAAAATAATACTAAAATAACCATCAACTTAGTAATTATCTAATAAATGGTAATTTGATATCATGAATGTCACTGCAAATACACAATTACCCTTTACTCTACCATGAAATATTATTTACTCCAATTTTTAAATAAGAAATGTGAGGGCTCAGCCATTGTGGCTCAGTGGTTGAGCATTGACCTATGAACCAGGAAGTCACGGTTTGATTCCTGGTAAGGGCACATGCCAGGGTTGTGGGTTCAATCCCCAGTGTGGGGCGTGCAGGAGGCAGCCAATCAATGAGTCTCTCTCATCACTGATGTTTCTATCCCTTCCTTTCTGAAATCAATAAAAATATAAAAAATAAAAAGAAATGTGAGGGAACAGAGAGGCTACATAATCTGTCCAAGGTCATGGTGCTAGACAGGATTCAAACCCCAATTTGTCTGAATACAAAGCTCTGCTGCTATACAGCTTCTGAATGAAAATCATTTTATTTTTCTCTTCATCTTGAAAAAATACACTTACTTTGTTTGATGAACTGGAAACAACTGGAAACTTCATTTCACAACTTGATTTATGTGATCCATTTCTCCAGGATGAACCTAAATGAGGAGTCTCTGAATGGTCCAAGATCTGAGTGATTACAGGTGTAGGTGTCTTACTATCAGGCATACTTTTTTCACGGACAGTTTGTTGAAAGTTATTACTTGAAGGAGAAGGGAGCGAGGATCCATCCCAGGAAGAGTTATTGGGGATGATCCCTTCAGAATTAGTGCAAAGTTTGCTCTTTTTTGGGCTAAGACCATCTTCTCTCATCCCTTCTCCAAGGGAGGAGGGTTTTTCAATATCTTTGGGTGTATCAGTCTTGTCCTTATTAAGCACATCACAAGCTGTTGGATTAAATGGTGCAACAACTGTTAATTTTACAAGATTCTTTTCTAGTGCAAAGGGTCTGTTTAATGGTTTTGCAGGAGTTGGTCCCTGACCAACTAATGTACTCTGAGGTAATTTGAAGAGGCCAGGAGTCTCAGCTACTGGTCCACGGCTGTCCAATGAATTTTCCTCATCCTCATCTGATAGATCATCATCCCTTAAGTACTTCTCTATCTCTTCCTCTGTGAAGCTGAAATGGCCATCATCTTCTTCTCCTTCACTCAGGTCCAGCAAGGAGTCATCCAATACATCCTCATCCAAGGAACCCCTAGAGGGCACCAATGGGCACATCATATCTGGAGAAATAAGAGGCAGGTTCACTGAGGAACAGGAAATACTCTTCATACCAACTCCAATCTGCTCTATAGAGTGGTAGTGTCCTAACATTTCAAATTCTTTACACTGTGACTTGTAATATAGAAAACAATTTTAAGATATTTAACTTTATCAGAATCATGGAAATAGATATTAGTACAATGAGATACTTTTTTCCCTATAAATATGGTAAAAATTAAGACATAATAATCTAGGTTAGTGTGGATGTGCAAAAAAAGCACTCTCATACTCTGTCAGTGAGAGTGTAAGTCAGCACAGTATTTTGTGGATAGTATCTTGGCAATACCAAATTTACCCAGATATTTCACTTCTGGAAGTTTATTCTACAGAAATACCTATACAAATGCACATGGATACATTTACAAGGATATCCAAAGCAGCATTACTCAAAATAGCTAAATTATTGAACAATTGACATGCCCATCACCAGGAGATCAATTAAGTAAAATCATGGTATATTCATGCTATGGATATTTTAAACTACAGTAGTCTCCCCTTATCTGCAGTTTTGCTTTCCACAGTTGCAGGTACCCAGTTTCAGACAGGAGGTCAATTGAGGTTCTAAATTATTAAATGGAAACTTCCCAAAATAATTCTGTTTGTTAAAATATATTTTTATTGATTTCAGAGAGAAAAGGAGAGGGAGAGTGAGATAGAAACATCAATGATAAGAGAGAATCATTGATCGGCTGCCTCCTGCACACCTCCTACTGGGGGTTGAGCCCGTACATGGGCATGTGCCCTTGACTGGAATCAAACCTGGGACCCTTTAGTCCACAGGCCAATGCTCTACCCACTGTGCCAAACTAGTTAGGGCCCGAAATAATTCTTAAGTTTTTAGTGTGATGAAACCTCGTACCTTCCCACTCTGTCCTGTCCAGAACGTGAATTATACCTTTGTCCAGCATATCCACATTCTTTATGCTACCGTTCATTAGTCACTTATTAGGTTATTGGAAGGACTGTCATGGTATTTCAGTGCTTATGTTCAAATAACCCTTATTTCATTTAATAATGGCCCCAAAGAGCAAGAGTAGAAATGCTGGCAATTCATCTATGCCAAAGAGAAGCTGTAAAGTACGTCCCATTAAGTGACAATGTATGCACATAGAGGAAGAAACATAGTATATATAAGATTCACTACTACCTGCAGTTCCAGGCATCTACTGGAGGTTTTGGAACATATCCCCTGCGGACAAGTGGGGACTACTGTATTTAAAAATACAATGCAAACTGTATATACTATCACTGAATAATATCCACAATATACAAACAATACAAATATAATATGTAAAATGTATGGATTTTCATAGTTTACACTTTTTAGAAAACAAACATATTACTTTCAAAACAAATTTTTTTAATTAAGAATATAAGAATTGTCTTCCATACTGTGTGGAGCTGCTGGCGTGATCTCTGCCTTTGCCACAAGACCAAATGGAAAAAGGTTTCAGCTCCTGCTAGCTGTTCCTTTCAGGAGACTTGTCAAAATGATTGACTCCCACCTTCCTGAAGGTACAAAGAAAATTAGAGGATCTTCTCATCACTTTCAACTAGCTAATTACAAAGTCAACTGTATTATGCTTTTAAGGTGCTCCATCTATTAATTTTCATCTTGATTTTTTTTAATACCAGAAAGTTAAATTTTGAGTCAAAACATAAAAGAAAAACCTTTAGAGGAAAAATTATGCAACTAAAGAACTAGTTTTGTTCCAACAATTTGTACTTTCTTAAGGATATCATTTATATGCTCTAGTACAGTGGTTCTCAACCTTCCTAATGCCACGACCCTTTAATTCCTCACGTTGTGGTGACCTCCAATTTCATTGTTACAAATTGAACATAATTCAAGCATAGTGATTAATCACAAAAACAATACGTAATTATATATGTTTTCCGATGGTCTTAGGCGACCCCTGTGAAAGGGTCGTTCGACCCCCAAAGGGGTCGCGACCCACAGATTGAGAACCGCTGCTCTAGTAGGATGAATCCTAGATTAGGAGTCTAAAAATCTGGGTTATAGTCCTGGTTCTGTCACTAACCAGTTATAATAATTTAGGCAAACCACTTAACCATTTGAACTTGTTTTCTCATTTATAAAACGGGGAAGGGATGGAAAAGGGGACCAGGCAATGTCTAAGATTCCACCAAGATCTAAGTTACTCATGACCATACATACAAAAGTCTCATTTCAATAGATACATAGATGCAAAAATAGAGAAAAATGCAAACAAATTTGATGACTGCTATAACCTGATTGAGAGAGGACAAGGGGAGATTTTGATATCACTTCACTTTTCCACCTGAATATATATTACTAGTTTAACTAAAATCTAGTTTTTAAACAGCTAATGATGAATTTGATCTATAATTATTTTCTAATGGGGAAAATGAGAGAAAGCTAATATTTTACATATTTCATATAAACATCTGAAACGCTATAAGAAATAATTAAACACTAAACTCAATAATCTGGGAAATTTATGATAGCTTTTTTACTGTGAATTTTGCCTACTCCACTTCCCTCCAAACCACACCTGGAATTTTAGCTTTAGTTCATACATTCTTACAGAAAACATTTTCTGAGTTACTATCATCACACAGCACTGAGCTAGATAATATGTCTCTATAAAATTTCTAAGAAATAAAGATATGACTTCTACACTCAAAGACTGTATAATCTTGTCAGGGAGACAACATTTAAAATTACACACTACTATGAAAAAATGTAAAATGGTATGGACAATAAAGTACCAGAGAAAGAGTTAGAAGGGAAGGAATTTCAGGATTAAAAGGGACCTATGTAATGCACAGCATGGTGATTATAATTAACAACACTGATTTTATACTTGAAAATTGCTAAGAGAATATATCCTAGAAGTTCTCATCACAAGAAAAAAACTGTAACTATGTGAGGTGATGTTGTTAACTAAACTTATTTTATAATTAGAGGCCCAGTGCACAGGTTTGTGCACCGATGGGATCCCTCAGCGTGGCCTGCAGCAATCAGGCCAAAACCGGCAATCCAACACTGCCTGCTGCTCCTGCCTGCCACTTGGCGCTCATCCTGGCCCTGCTGCAGACTTGCGCCCAGTCCCCATCAGGAGAGGCGCCCTTCAATCAGCTGAGCAGCACTCCTGCTAAGGGAGCACACTGACCACCAGGGGACAGCTCCTGCATTGAGCGTCTGCCCCCTGGTGGTCAGTGCACATCATAGAGACTAGTCATCAGTCGTTCAGGCTTTTACTAGGTGTACCAGTTAATAATGCGGATTTTTGTAATCAAAGAAAACATGATAATTTCAAGAGAAACATCAAAGTGCTTTATTCAAAGTAATGTCCATCGCTAGCTACACATTTCCCCCATCTTTCAGAAATGTTGCTTCAGCGACACAAAAGACTTTTTTTGCATCAAATTGTGACTGGCGATGAAAAGCGGATTTATTTTGAGAATCCCAAACACACAAAATCATGGGTTGATCCAGGTCAACCATCAACATCGACTGCAAGGCCAAATCGCTTCGGAAAGACAATGCTCTGCATTTGGTGGGATCAGGAAGGTGTGGTGTAGTATGAGCTTCTAAAACCAGGTGAAGCCGTTAATACTGATCTCTACCAACAACAAGAAATCAATTTGAACCACCCTTTGATCGTAAAACGGCCAGAATGGGCCAGAAGACAGGGCAAAGTAATTTTGCTTCATGATGACGCACCATCACACACTTCAAAACCAACTAAAGACACGTTAAAAGATCTTGCCTGGGAAGTATTAACGCACCCACCATATTCACCAGACCTTGCTCCTTCAGATTACTACTTGTTCCAATCAATGGCACACGCACTGAGCAGCACTTCAAACTGTACGAAGAAGTGGAAAATTGGGTCTCTGGTTGCTTCAAAATAAGAAAAGTTCTATTGGGACGGTATCCACAAATTACCTGAAAGATGGGGGAAATGTGTAGCTAGTGACGGACATTACTTTGAATGAAACACTTTTGATGTTTCTCTTGAAATTATAGTCTTTTCTTTGATTATAAAATCCGCATTATTAACTGGTACACCTAGCATATATATAGATCATATGGCAATATGTACATATGTCAAACCATTATGTTGAACACCTTAAGATAATGAAACTAAGGGGGTAATAAATAAAAGAAGGAACTAATTAAACTTATCTTAGAAATGAGGTGGGACAGAAAGGAAAGAAATATTAAGTACTTATTATAAATCAGACACTGAGAGACATTTACAGCTCTAATTTAACCCTCAACTTAATTCTATAACACAGATCTCATCAAAGAAACTACAGTTTCTGTTGTGTGACTCAAGAGGTTGAGCGTCAATCTATGAACTAGGAGGTCATGGTTCGATTCCCGGTCAGGGCACATGTCCAGGTTGTGGGCTACTGATCAATGATTCTCTCTCATCATTGATGTTTCTATCTCTCCCTCTCCCTTCCTCTCTGAAATCAATAAAAATATATTTTAATTAAAAAAATAAATAAATAAACGTAGAGCTGCTAAGACCTTTTCTCTGATTTTACCAACAATTGTTGTGAGAGTTCCAGGCACTGGAGCAGGTTCCTCAATAAAGAGAAAAGTAATTTCTCTGCCCAGTGACTGAGTTTTTATAACATTATTTCTTTAGGCAGAAGAAAAGTTGACTTTTGGAAATTTCTTTTTTACATAAAGTTTGTAGTTGTCAAGCACAAGTATCACAGACACTGGAGTTAAGCAGCTACATTTCTGAGAAGCCCTTTCTGAGCCCGTACCCCCAGCACCTGCTTGACCAAATGAAGAGTTCAATATATTTTCACTCTTGGAAAACTAAAGTTCAAAGTCATAAAGTAACTCAACCAAGTACAGAGAACTAAGAATGCTAGAACAAGGATCCAAACTAAGGTCTATTTCCAAAGGCAATGTTTTTTCTTGTGTGTGTTTTTTCTACCACCTTTGTAATAGACTTGCCCAGGGTTGGTCAGCAAATGGCAGAGCCCTCTAAATTCACTACACCTCTTTATAGACCTGAAAGATATGGACACTAATGAGGATTTTGGTGCCGTAGAAAAAAATAATTTAAGCCACCTTATTATCACAGACTTCCTTGATTTCCCAGCTGAATGGAAGGACATCAGTAATATCCCTGAATGCAGCCAAACCACAGAGGAAAAACACACACATCATTACTGTGCACACAAAGGCCCAATATCCTTCACAACCACTGACAATATCAATTTCTATGCCATACGACATCCAGAGCCACAAAGTTGGCTCTTCTGAGCTTCTCTCATAGAATGTTCCAAAAGGGCTGGGAGCAAAAACATACAAAATACCATCCTATATAATAAAAGCCTAATATGCAAATCGACCAGTGGAACAACTGGTCACTATGATGTGCACTGACCACTAGGGGGCAGACACTCAATGCAGGAGCTGCCCCCAGCCAGCAGACCCCAGGCCAGCCAAGGTGGGTGCCAGCAGGGACCCCCCAATTGTCCCACTGGTCACCTCACAGAGGAAGGAGACAGGTGGCGGCAGCAAGGCAAGGCAATTGGGGGGTGGGGCCAGCCAGCGAGCAGGCAGCGCCAGGCCAGCCAAGGAGGGTGCCAGTAGGGACCCCCTGATTGCCCCACAGATTGGCCTTGATCACCCACCATACCTAGGGACCCTACCTGTGCACCAGGCCTCTAGTTTGAAATAATTATCTAAGTTATTGTCAGCCTCATAACTTCCCAAATGTCTGCATTTATCAGGAAATATACGCCCCACCAGTTGCCCCACAGATCGGCCCTGATCAGTGGCCAGGCCTAGGGACCCTATCTATGCACGAATTTCATGCATTGGGCCTCTATTATAATTTTTAACCTGCACAAATCATTCTCTTCATAATTTTAGTTACTCATTTTAATACACATACAAAAATAACATAATAGCATAATGAACCCCACATACCATCACTCAGGCCCAACAACTACCATCAACCAAACCATAGCTAATCTCCCCCATTTACTAGATTATTTTGAAGCAAATCCCAGGAATTACATCATTTCATCTGTAAATAACAAGAATTCCTTATCATAAGATATCTGGTTCAGATTTCCAGTTATTTTATGTCATATATATATATTTTTTAATATAGTTTATTGAGTTTTTACAGAGAGGAAGGGAGATGGATAGAGACTTAGAAACATCGATGAGAGAGAAACATTGATCAGCTGCCTCCTGCACATCTCCCACTGGGGATGTGCCCGCAACCCAGGTACATGCCCTTGATCGGAATCGAACCGGGGACCCTTCAGTCCGCAGGCCGATGCTCTATCCACTGAGCCAAACCGGTTTCGGCATATATTTTTAAAAGATTTTAAAAAATCAGTATCCAAATAAGGTCCATACATTGCAATTGACTGATACATCTTGTGTTTTAATCTATAGCATCCCCATTTTCTTGCAACTTGTTAAAGAAACAATACCAAATACATATATCATTAAATTATAAAAACATGCAAAGGAATAAGAAACACCAAATTCAGGATAGTGGTTACCTCTGGTTGTGGGAAGGGAAGAGGAATGGGCAAGAGGACAAAAGAGCTTCAATTCTATGTTTTAGTTCTTAAAAAAAAAAAAATAGCCTAAAACAAACATGGCAACATAATATAAAGCTGGCCCTGGCTGATTTGGCTCAGTGGATAGAGCGTCAGCCTTCGGAGTGAAGGGTCCTGGGTTCAATTCTGGTCAAAGGCACATGCCCAGTTTATGAGCTCAGTGCTCAGTAGGGGACATGCAGGAGGCAGCGGATCAATGATTCTCTCATCATTGATGTTTCTCTCTCTCTCCTGCTCCCTTCCTCTCTGAAATCAATAAAAATTTATTTTAAAAAACATTATTAAAAAAAGATAAAGCCAGCCGAAACCGGTTTGGCTCAGTGGATAGAGCGTCGGCTTGCGGACTGAAAGGTCCCAGGTTCGATTCCGGTCAAGGGCATGTACCTGGGTTGCCGGCACATCCCCAGTAGGAGATGTGCAGGAGGCAGCTGATCGATGTCTCTCTCATCGATGTTTCTAGCTCTCTATCTCTCTCCCTTCCTTTCTGTAAAAAATCAATAAAATATATTAAAAAGAAAAAAAAAGATAAAGCTGGATGGTGGATATAAAGGTATTCATTACTATATTTTTCATATGCTTAAAATATTTAATAATAAAAACATTTTAAAATTAGAAGTCAGTGGGATACAATGATTACATTCTGAAGTTTCAAATGTCCTCTCCTGTAAAAAGACCACATAAAACTACCTCATGGGATTGTTGGAAGAATTAAATAAGATCATGAATATAAAGTGCTTAGTATACTACAGTATAAAAGCTAAGTAAGCAGTTTATAGATATTACTTCACTCCACCCTCATCACCTCCCTGAACCCTTCAAAATCTTAAGAGAAACATAGGAATAATAGGAAAAAAAAAGTGCTAAACTGGTAAAGAACTTCCCCTAGCCCTTGCTTGTTAGGAAATTAATCCAGTATGCTCTAATCTCTTCTAGAGTTAACACAGAATTCAACCATTTTGCCACTAAATGAAAGATGAGGCTGTATGGACATCTGAACTAATAGGCAAATTCTGTAAATTAATAATGAAGTACCTTGTATAGAGGAACTAAAATTCAGAAACTTCAGAATTCAAGTTTGAACCTCAAAACAGATGAGAACACTCATCTGAAAAATGGGAATTATTCACTCTTAACTTTAAACACAGATTATCATGAAGATCAAATGAGGGCAAATTTAGGAGCACTCAACATAAAGCTCTATACTTATGAAAGTTGATATTTAATGAATTTGTAGCAGAGGGGATTTCAGATAAAACTGAAGTTCTAAAGTGAAGTTCCACAAGACAGCCTTAGAACTTCTGTCTACCATTCTACCATCACCTGCCTTTCTTGGCACTTACTTTGTAACCTCCACCAAAAATATTCGGATCTCTTTTATTTTTAAGGAAAGAATATTTTTTCTCGTCTCCCGAGTCTCTCTCTCAATTCCTCTGCTCCCCATCCCTTCTGTGACCCTATTCTGTCCTTCTATGTCTCTCACCTGTCCACCCCCTTCTTCACACTTCAGTTTACCACGTCCGCCCTCGCTGTTCTCTAACCTCAGAAACTGGCTCCCTTTCTATTTTTATCATACCTAAGAAACCTACCGCCTTCCAGCACAAAGCTCTTTTTTTATTCAGGCCACTAAAACTGCAACACCAGACACAACCCCATACCCCCCTTTCAAGGCTCTCAAACCAGATCATTACCAAGCTGAATGTGACAGCTATGGCCAAGGGCAAGGATTACTTTCAAGGGACAGGATTTCCCCACTCAGCTTTGATTTCCAACTGTCCCCACATGCAATCTGTGTGAGGCACCCTACACCAAAGGCACTCGGTAGGTTTTACCGCTCCATAAAAGGGGCATGCCATTTAAGCAAAATCAAAGTGAACTAAAATTATCTGTAAGAATCGTGCAACTCCCTTTGAGGTAACTGAACAAGCTGTGGGCCAGAAAAACAACCCAGAGCTGGAAATATCTGCTCCAAGAACATTTCACTAGATAAGAGCTCCAGGAATCTCCTCCCATAGGCACAGGAGGCCAAATGTCTAAGCTGCAGCAACAGGTCTCTTAAAAAAAAATGTAGACAGGTTTGCTACAGGCTGGAGCCTCTATCCACAAGACACCGGAGGTCAGGCGTGACCCCTGACCCCTCTAAGACCAGACACCTCTGACCTAACCAGGTGAATTCCCACCCCTGCTCCACCCACCTCGGAGTCTGGTCTAGACATGGCCGCATCCTGCCCGAGGAGCGGAGCAGCCCGTGCATCTGCGCTCGCGGATGCAGCTCCGCCCAGGCCCCACCTGAACCTTCCCACGGCCCGTAAAAACCCGTGCCCACGGGGTAGGCCCCGAGCTCTCACTGCTCTGAGTCGAGCTTTTCACTCAGTGACTCTTCTCTGTGAATTCTCTCACAGCCCGCGGCTCGGATGGAAAAAAGCACCAGAGCCCACCTAGCAGGGCGAGGCAGCAGGCGGGCCATGCCACCGCCCCCTGCGGGCCCAGGCCGGCCCTCGGGGCCGGGCCAGGCTGGCGCACGGCGCTCCTCCCGCCTCCCAGACCGAGAATTCCCGCCGCCCGCGGAAGGCGGGAGGAGCGCGGGCTCGATCCCCACCCCTCCCCCCGGAG